GGGGTTTGTAGGGGCCATGGGAGCTGTGGGGGCTCTGAGGTCTGTGGGAGCTGTGAGGGATGTGGGGCCCGTGGGAGCTGTGGGGTTTGTAGAGGCTGTGGGGGCTGTGGGGCCCGTGGGAGCTGTGGGGTTTGTAGGGGCCGTGGGAGCTGTGGGGGCTGTGAAGTCTGTGGGGCTGTGGGGCTGTAGGCCCCGCGCCCGCCACCAGCGTCCTGTGGGGCCTGGAGTGTCACAGGGCAGCTGCCAGGACCCTGGGGACCAACCAGCCCTCACCGCAGCAGGGAAACAAAGCCTGTGGGACTGGGCAACCGAGAAATGACCTTTTCCTCAGACAATAAGTAAAACCAACATGCAAAAGAGCTGCAGAAGTGAAGCCACAAGCAAGCCTGACACTGCCACAGGACTAGCCTGTTCCCCCGTACTTAGTTCCTAAGATACACAAAATATCCTTGTACCCCAAATGAAAGGATTCAGCCAAAACGTGGCTCAAGCAGCACAGTTCAAGCTTCAATACATATCTGGTTTTCTCCATCATAAATCACCTATAGTAGTGCACATTTCCAGGTACAATTTTCATTAGTCCTCGAGAAATAGTGCATATTATGGCAAATCTCAGTCTAGCGTGTGGGCTTCTGCTGGGATTATGGAATATATGACCTAGCAGGAAAATTACAAGACAGAGAAGTGCACAGCTCAGTAAAGAACAAAAAGGCAGTAAGGACTGTTATGAAAGCATCATGACTGTCAAAAAGCTTTATGTAGCTCTCAAGTAATTTTTTGAGTCCCCTTTCCTTGCTTTATTGTGTCTTGTCTAATTCATCAACAGCCCCCTCAAATGGCTGCAGTCACACTTGCCTGGAACCTATACCCCAGAAGGTTTCACTGGAACACCAGGGATTGGGATCCATAAACTATATTAACTCTTACTAGTCTGTCTCCACAGTGTCCTGCAACCCTACTCCAAGTCACTTATCCAACCCATCTGTTCCTACCTCTTTCCCACTGTCCTCACTTTGTCCTCATGCTCACAAGTCTTCCTACCAGCCCCCAAGAGCACTCTTTTCTCATCTGCTTGTTTGGTGTCTGGCACAAGCTGCTTTTTACCAGGTCACGTACCTCAGGTCTTCTTATGCTGCTCCCCCATGCTGCTCTTGAGAAGTGTAGCAGAGTGCTGCCCTACAGACCTGTCTGCTTCAACCACACTTGAACATTACCTGTTTCTTTATGCAAGGCTGCAGCTAAGATCCCAACAGGGAGCCAGTGTTTACATACTAAGGGATACAGCTGTGCCAGATTAGCTTGTGCTCAACACCTCTGAAACAGACAAAGAGTACAATCAGAAATAGCAGGAGCTCAGAAAAGTAGAAGGTCCCAGTGCAGGTTGCAGCCAAGCTAACAATATAAGACATGGCTACTACCCCTCCAGGAGCCGTAATTTTCACCACTAAACCTTCCAACAGTACCATTTGGAGTACTAGAATCACAGTCTAGTACCTTCTTCTAGAGTGAAGAATGGCTGACAGAATTAAAGTCTCCAAACCACAATGGCAGAAGCAGCAAGATCTTTTTGTATTCTACTACTTTCTTGATGTACTGATAATGATTCGTGCAATGGCCTAAACAGAGGACAGAAATCAAGAATCAATTTAAGTAGTAAATGTAGAACAGTCCCATCTAACATCATCATGATGTCTCCATCACAGGGTAATTACATAAACAGAATCCCATTGGTTTTCCCTGCAAATCTGATGTCTTTTCTTCAGATAGCAACATGTTACATTCTGTGGTGTTTGTCTGTCAAATCAAAACATGTCCTGATGGAAGAAAAGCATCCAGTTAGGAAGCAACTGTGATGAAGTAGCCATTTGTGGTATTTGTGCATAAATGATAAATAAAATTCTGTGGATACTTTACATAGAGGAGTAGGTTCCATAGAAACATAGAACTTAAGAATGTGTGTAGGTGGGTTGCCCAGTATATGTGAAAATCAGGGACTCCTTTAGATAATATAAAATTTCAGTGATATTTTGTCCATGCCTGGCACCCAACTCAACCATCTCTGATGGTTCTTTTCTTGTCAGGGGCCACAAGACTCTTACCTGAAAGACCTTTGCAGAGAAAAGTGAGTTGGATTATGTGATACCACTTATCAACTAATTTTTGCTGTTTGAAAATTATTTGCTATGGTGATCTGTCATCCCATAATCCTTGTAAAGATATTGTTCTTCAAAAAATTTTGTGGAAAATGGGGCTATGTTGAAAGATATATAAAGAAGTAAATTTTGTTTTGGCTGTAGGTACGCCAAAAACATGGTCAAGATTTGAACATTTGGTGACTGTACGAACAGCAGTGCTCAAGCAACAAATAATTCTAAATCTTGCCTTGTGCCTCTAAATCTTTTCCTAGTGGTATCCATCTCATGTTGAGCTCAAAATCTGTGTAACTGAGTCTTCTGACAGAAGAGAATGCATAGCTGGGGAAGGAAGGTTATTTCCTTGCAGGTAATTTTCATAGCATTCTTCTGTGAAGTCTGAAATAAGGCTTGAGAAGGGTACCAACTTGTCCAAATAGAGGCTTGTACAGCGTCAAGATGCCAAAGTGAGCTCTGGAATTACAGAGATTCTGTTTTGAGTCACAAATGGTTTTCTTTTTACTTAGTTCAAAGATGAAAGAAGGAATTACATGTAAAATGGCTTGTAAAAAATGTTTTCTTTTAGAAACTAGAGCACAGAACAACCTGATGCCAACCACTAGTACTCCTGATGAGCAAAATGGCTATTATTCCTGTCTAGTTAAGTCAGCCATGTAATCTTCTGTCCTTTACAGTACATGCTCTATACACCTGGTGTTAATGGTAGTGGTAAAAATTGGGAGGAAAGACAGCCAGCTGCTAATTAATTCTTCACTTAAAGAAGCCAAGAACCACTTTTGACAGGTGACTATTAGTTCCATCCCTTCATTCCCCAACACCCAGAACAATTTGTGAGAGAACATAACAGAGCTTTCCTGAAGCCATTGGCAAGGCTTATATTCCTGATTCCAGCTGCTCAAAATGCCTAAAACTAAGGCCTGTTGTTTTTCAGACAGGTCCAAAAAAGTGCTCTGCAGAGTCCCTTGCCAGAAGAAAGTCTACATAATCAGACCAGAAATCTGGCTCCTTACAAGTCTTTCAGTTACGATGGTATTGTCCTCAGTCATATTGCTCCTTGACCTGGTAATTAACAACAATTAAAAGCTCTTGTTTTCTGCAAAAATCAGTGTTAGTTTCCAACTTGCAAGGATCAAACCATTAGTTCATTCAAGAATTAACACAATACTGAGATCATAGCAAATGTATGTACGGGCCTTGTACTTACTGAAAGTTGAACGACTGAAATTGGTAACACAGGATACTCTCAAACTCACGCTCCCTTGCAGACCTAGTTTTAAGGTCTTAATTAGTGACTACACAAGACTGTAAGAGATAAAAACCAACCAAGGATCTAACGCTACCTTACCAAGAAACTATACAAGCAGGAAGCCTGACATGAAAATAAGTATGTAAAACAATAAGATTGTACCAGCAAGAAGCACATCAAGCAACCATTGTCAGGAAGTCATGAAGATCTGGAAAGCATTCTACAAAATGCACACGTTTGTCTTGGTATCACATGAATGCCTAGAGGACCAGAAAAGAGGCCATGAGGTAGCAAAAATCCTAGATACACCAAAGATCTTGGTCTCGTGAATCTGTTCCCTGGGGGTGAGCAGGGAGCTTTCAGAAAATACTGTCCCACAACACAAACACTATGATTGTGAGCCATTAGGCCCTTTGGCTGTAGGCTTTCCATGAGACTTCCAGACTTAGTTTCTTCCAAAACATCTGCCTTCTGAAGCTTAACAACACATGTTTTTATAAAATGTGCTACCTAAACACTAATTAAAGTAACCACTTGATGTGGTGAGCATAAAAGCTCTGAGAAATAAAGCAATCTCATCTTCAGCAATGAGCCATCAAAACCCTTGACACCAAAACAGCTTCATCCAAAGATGAACATCACTGAAAGTGTCATTCCATAAAACTTGTGAAAAGCAGTTTGAATAAGGAAATAGCCTGCTTCCCTCCCACTTAAAATAATGCACTAATACAGCTACTGATGGCTAAGAGATGAGAAACAGAACCTAAGTATTAGAAACAGACTAATATGCTCTGTACACTACAACAGCTTTTCAAAACCAAGCCCATTCACCTGCCTAAAGGAAGTGGATTCAGAGCATGTCAGTATATTGACAACATCCATGGAACATTGCAAGTCTAAGAACTGTCTTCCCTCAAGTCGCTGCTCTCGTCCCAACCAATTTCATCCTTTCGTTTTATAAAACAGACAATTAAACTGATACTGATTTAACTCCCTTTTCTCTGTACCTGTCAATTCCTGTTGCTCTGAATCTCTAAAAGATTTGCATTAATTTTTTTTCCACCTAACTGCAAATTCAGAAAGTCTTTCCTTTGTGACTTCCAGTTCTCATTTTTCTAGGTTGACTTTGCCTGGTTTATCCTAAATTATCCTGGTCTATCCTCTGTCATTTGATACACCAAAACTTAAGACTTTACAAATAAAACCTTTTTACTTTCATTAGAGCATTACATACAACCATTACTCTCTTTAATATCATAGTTCTCACTTAGTCACAGCTCCTTATTAATACTCCATGTAAACTTAGCACGTCAGAGGATTTAAATGCAACCTATAGGATGGAACCTACATATTCTTCACGCCCTGCTCAACACGAGAGCAAAACATCCCCACTATACCAACACAGCACATTAGTGTGCACGCACATCCAAATGGGGGTTTGTGAGCGAGGAGGTGGAAAATTACCATCTCTGTGTCCATAAGGAAAGAACACACGTTTCTCCTTCCCACCATCTACTGCAAAATAATATAACATCTCAGGCTATCAAGACATATTATGAAATTACACCTTGTTAGTTAACAAGAAGCACAGTAAACTCAAGTCAAAAGAAAAAAAAATAGTGTTTTATTAACTACCACACTGTTATAATACACTTTAAACGTACAATAAGGTAGCCTTTAAATTTGAGGTGGTTTTAAGAATAACAAATGAACAGATTTTCAAATGCTTGTAAATAGGTGAACTGCAGTAATTATTGTTGTACATTTTTTGAAAATGGTATAGCACTTACAGACTGGCTATATAACTTCATTTTGTACATTTTCTATAATTGAAAATATAAACAGTAATTAAAAAATAAAAAGAAAATTCAGCATAATAAAAAACATATATGTTTATCAGTTAAATGTACTGGATACATACAATTTTTAAGGGAAGAAGCAAAAAAGGAAAGATGGCTGATATTTAAATGCAGATTGACTAACCAAAAACTAAACAACAAACAAATAAAAACCTCATAACCCCCCTAGTTCACTATGACTATATCCATATGTTTGGGAGTACTGTCAATATGGAAGTGATTTTTCTTTTGTATTTGCATATGTAATATTTTACTGGTAATTTACATGATGGCTTTTAAGGCCCTGGCATACAGATGTTTTTTTGGAAAAAGATTTGATAAAAATCACTGCTGAGACGCAATACACCTTATTTTTGGTCCTCCAATGTTCAAAAGAAGGGATATACTTCACTATAACATCTGCCTTACCACCCAAATGCTTCAACCTATACATATTTATTTTTCTTAACATTTTAAGCTTTTTAAACATTGGTTATATTGCCCACCTTGGTTATTGAAAGAACATTAACAAGACATCATTTTGGCAAATTAAATCTTAAACATGGCTTTTCAATAGGATTTAAAAGGTGACTATCCCTAGAGTTCCATGTTAAAATGTAGTTTGCAAAATCTTACAAGAGTAATGCTTAAAATATTGTACATAGTTAACCTAATTAAAATAATTAGCTTCAAAATGACAAGTTGATGAGCTAAGTAAAGCCTACACTATGTAACATTTGCTTGGAAACTTGATTTGTCAGTTATGCATAATAAAAATTCCAGTCATCAAGAAAATTACAAAATTTCTTTTATCATAATGTGATTTCTTTTCACCCATCAACTTCTTTTATCTTACAATAGATAAATACCAACATGTTCTCATTTTTTTTACACTAAACCACACAGGATTGATGCATTTGGTTAGACTACCATTTCCATCGTTAAATTCTTTTTTTTTTTTTTTTAATATAACTTGGTAAAATTTCTTCTCTTCTAGATTCCAAAAGTACCTACAAAACCCATGCAATTTTACCATTTTAATATACTATGGAATATCATACAAAGTAAGGCATTTCAGTGTCATGTATAACCAAGTTACTGTCAATCCAAAAATTTTTGCACATCAATAAAAAGATATCTAAGAACTTAGGAACAATATTCTTCTCACTACTGTATAAAAATAACCACAATTAATAGGTATCTTGTGTAATATTTACTCCATTGTCTCGTTTCCCGAAACTGTGACAAGCTGTAAAGGTATTTCAGTGTTGGTAAGAATATCCTGATTGCTGGTGCCAGATGTATTAACAGTTCCTATTCCTGAAACAGAACCTTGTTGAATATTTGCAAGGATAAGTGTTGTTCCTCCTGCAGTAATCAAAGTATCATCAGATGTTGCTTCTACTGATGCCAGCACTGTACTGCTAGAGTGAATGCCTTTTTTATTCTGATGTGTTTTAATGTGTTTGGCAAGATGGTCACTTCTCATAAAGCGTTTTGAACATTCTGGACAGACAAATTTCTTCTCACCTGTCAAAGAAGGGAAAAAAAATTCAAGAACATGAAAAATTAAAAATAAACTTAATGCTTTTTAGAGTCAGAATTCTAACAAGAATTATACTGAGGAAGAAAGCAATTGAACATGATAAACTTGTGTGTTACATTTCTTGACACCCGTACAAATCCCACGCAATTTATATAAGAAATGATTTAATTTTCTGGCTGTCACCGAGCCTGGGGAGATCCTTCAGGCATGCTAGAGAATATAGCCATCTCATATCCTCAGGCTGCTAAGTTTCACTGCAATTATTACCAATAAGTAACTTCTAGGAGGAGAACAAAACCTACCAAATGATGGACAGAGAAGACTGTATGACCTATAGTACAATCACACTTGAGACTGACACACAAGATCATAGGGTAATTCAGGTTTGAAAGGACCTCTGAATGTCTGTGTTCTGATCTCTTTCTAAGCAGTCACCTATGAGATTGGATCTGGTTGCTGAGGAATTTACCCAGTTTTCTTGAAACCTTTAAGGATGGAGACTGCAGGAACTCTACAGTCATCCTCTTCCAGTGCCTGGCTATTCCCACAATTAAAAAGCTTTTATTTATAGCTGTTCTGAACCCTTCTTATTTCGACATACCTCTGCTGTCTATTATCCTTCAACCAATAACCATCATCAGGGAAAGTAACTGACTTCTTAAGGATGGCCTTTGCACATAACTAGAGAATTACTACTAAGCTCCCCCTGTCATTACTGTTCTCTGTGCATCTGAATCCTACAGTCTTTCCTCATAAGGCAAATGTTCCAGTTTCCTGATCATCTTGGTCACTCATTAGTGAACTCAATCCTGTCATCTATGTCTTCCTTGTACTGGGTGCTGAAAACTAGATGCCATATTATAGAAGCAGTCTAACCAAAAGAAGGGAATAATCCCTGTGATCAGGGTTCTTCCTTCTGTTAATACAGCTCTCGGCATTGTTGCTGCTGGTCTTTGACCATGTTCCACTTGTCTATCAAGACTCCCAGGTACTTTTCAGAAGAGCTGTTTCCAACCTCTCCATGCTTAGCCTTTGTTACCCTAAGTGATAATTCCATCCTAGGTGCAGTACTTTGTGACTGTTCTTGCTGAATTTCCTAGGATTCCTGTTAACCCATTCCTTCAGCCTCCATCCCTCTGAATAGCAGCCTTGCCATCAAGTGTATGGACTGGTCACCCCAGTCTGGAGTCATCCACAAACCTAAGAAGGTTAACAGAAGAATTGTGTTGATTCCTCCAGGTCAATGATAAAAATCTTAAGAGGTCAAACAATAGATCCCTGGAGTTCTCTACTTTTTACTGGTAAGCAGGTGCACTAGGAGCTATTAACCACACCCTCGGAACTGGATCATTCAACTTGCCTTTTTTTTAAAAACCATCAGCCTGTCCATTCAGACAGATTGTAACATCCCAGCTTGGATTTAGCATCCAAAATGGCTACACAAAAGCAGACCATTAAGAACAACATGGAATACTTTTCAGACATCCAAAGACATTTTTCTAAGCAATGTAAATACTGATAAACACAAAAATTATTTATCTACGAGTTTTTCAAATACTATGATTTTAAAAGGTATATATCCTGTTGAATGCAAATATTTAGTTTGTAAGAAAACAGACAAAACAGACAACAGATTTTAAACTAACTGCTCCTGTATAAATTTCTTTTCTTTGTATTGGACAGAAGGAGAAATGTGAACCTGAAGTTACTAATCAGTGGTCTAACCATGAAACTAAAAAGTGTAGAATGATGCACCATCACATGCTCTTCTTTGATTTTAGGAATGATTATCTAATCCCCAGGCCACCTAGTCCGGGGATTCTTTTTCTTATTGAAGTTTTCTTTTTTTTTTCTTTATTGAAGTTTTAAGATAGAAAAAGAGTTATAATCCGGTTCAAACAAATGAAATGTATTGCTGAGCCTGAATCAAAGTATTCTGATTAAGCTGCATTAAACATCAGCTTAAATGTCAGTTCGGAATAAAGAGGTGTGTGTTTTATCTCCTCCGACCTACCAACGATTCCAAAATAAGATCTAGCTGATTTTAGAAAAATCACACTGCCTTAAAATCAATCCAATTCAAAGATCTGTTCTCCTCTTAAAAGTTATTTATCCAAGCTCAGTCCATAGCACTCCTTTAGTTAAATACACCAGAATCAAAGACTGGAAACCTGTGTGCGTTCTTCGGTGTCGCTGGAGCTCATCGCTGCGAGTGAACCTTTTGCCACAGAACATCCAATTGCAAACAAATGGACGCTCTCCAGAATGCCAGCGGAGATGAGCTCTCAAGTGTGAAGTCTTCCCATATACTTTGCCACATCCTGGTATGTGACAAATGTGTTGCTTCTTTTTCCCCAAATTGGAGCCTCTGTTTAAAAAAAAAAAAAGAGAGAAGTTATTCATTCTAATACATTTCTCCTAAATACTGGTCCTATACACACATACACATAACACAACAGATCTGCAAGCCAACCCAAGCAACTTCATATTCTTGTTTCAAATACAACTGGATTCCAGAACACTCCGCAAGGAGCTGGAAATAAATTCTATAATGCTATCCCAGCTCCACAGAAAACTATAAATTCAGCTGTGTGTGAAATGTTATGTGATAGAAGCATAATCTTTAACAAGCATACATGCATATGAAGTTGGAAATACAGTTATTACAGCAGTTTGTACCACTTTGGTGCTGAAGAGCCCATATTTAAATTTCTCAGAGTTTCAGGCTTTTACCATATCAAAGATAGTTTAGGCAAAGAAAAACACAAATTACTGCAACTGCCAAAATGGACACTGGAGATTTTGGCAACTGGGTAGAGAACAGATGGGACTTTTGGCATCTTGGGGAATTCTGAGAATCAGTTTAGGATTTGAAGACAAGCATACTAACCTGAATGCTTTCACTAAAAGAGGTGGAAGCTGATCTTGCTGACATTTAATTGATTTCCTTGGTTTTTCAGTTAAAAAAAACAAATCCATCACAATGAACACAGAATTCAAAGATAATATAAACCAGACTAAGCTTGATGCTTATTTTAAGATGCTGCCTCACTGAAATGGTAGGTGATCAGGGGAAACACCTGATACAACAGCCTATTTTTTTTTTTTAATCACATCACAAGAGATAGATCCAAAGAAAGAGATCAGTCTGGCCAGTGCAGGGCATCATGATTGATTTTAGCCAATTTAAGTGTTTGCTATTGCGGAAAGGGGCACTTGAGGGAATAGGTCTGGCTGACAAGACAGCTATATGAATGGTAAATGCTGGTACAAGGGAGGAGATTGCAAAATGCAGCCAGGCATCAGGCCACTTTATTCATCAGCAATGTTAACTTAGAACACCTTAAATGGATTCTGAAATCAATCTTAAGTGCTCCATCCTCTATGAGTGATTATACAGTTTTTAGCTGCCTCCCCATGGAAATTTTTTTCTTTAAACTGGGTGCTTTATCTTCTGGTTTACATCTAGCAAAGGATCAGGTTAAAGTGTGTGCACGCTTCAAGGTGCTAGCAATTGCCGCAAGCATTTCTGAACATGCACAAAAATGAACTCACTCTAAAACCCCACAGTGTCTAAGGGGGATTCCAACCTAATCACATATGTACCTAAAACATTACAGACAGTCCAGAAAAGTAAGGAGATAAAGTCCCCATTAAGTCCTAGAAAATGTTTCTATGATTCTCAATATAGAACAATCTTCATAGTGCTTCATTAGTCATTTTGTCTCAGAAGATAAAAAAAACGTCACCTGTACCTACTAATTATTTGTCATGACAAATACAAATTCTGATTTCAGAACAAATTCAATAGAAGCAGAAGCAGAGTCCAGAAGGCTTTTGATCCTGTTGCAGCAGGAGAATCTATCTGAGGACTTCATCCTCACATCTTCTCCAAATAAAACTCTAGTGTCTTCCCTTCCACAGTATTAGTACAAATAATTTGTAACTTGGCACGATATAGTACACAAATTGGATGAAATCACATCAAAATTCCCTCAGAATAATGTTAATATTCCTATGTCAATCATTTGAAATGGCTTCATTGCACCTCTAGTCTAGACTGAAGGAAACCAAGGTTCAACTCATGGTCATTACTCATGGTCGTTACATGTGCATAGGTGATATAGAACACACAATTCTAAGCACCTCATCTAACTGCTGACAGAATTCCTTAGCAGACTCCGAAGTTCCAAGTGAGAGGGAAGTAAGGATCCACAGAATGAAACTCACAAGGCTACTGTGAATTAGCAACTAAGTGTATTTATTCTATACAACTTCATATGGGCACCTATATGTTTGCTTCATATGTGCTCTAAACTAAGAGGATACAAGACAAATTCTATCTGGACACTTTGCAGCTTAGACAGTCTGACACTATGCCCTAACACATGATGCTAAGAGGCCTTTCTTGCTGCACTGGCCAATAGCCATCATAACCGAATAGATGTACATCACTCCAGCTGATTCCTTGAATGAAGTCTAAAGATCTATTCACATTAAAGTATTTCCATAGTACATTTTAGCTTTACGAAGATTGGATATGACATTTTTCAATAACCAGGCTGACTGCCAGAGTTTCTGCAGGAAACATCTTCATCCACTAAGAAACTGGACTGTATATTCAGCAGTATTTCCAGCAATAACATTAAGTATTTCAAGGGTAAAACACAAACTTTTAAATTATTTGAAGAATGTGGTTTTTAGAGTTACATACCTGCAGTGGTACTCAGAAGCACAGCTCCTCTATATATCAGACAGTAGCAGTCATATCTCAATGTAATGTAACTGTTAGGAGGGTGAAATCTCTAGGTGTAACTGAGAGGAGATTAAACTTTCTACTTAACTTCAGACACCTTAACTAGAAGCCTAATACATTCTGTTTGGAAACAGAGTCATCCTTTCGGACATGTGTCTCTGTCTGTCCACTTGCGTATTCCCCATTTATTATATAAGCTTGGGGCTAAAAGGTGTTGATTTACAAATCTAATATATCCTCTTCTTCCTTTCCTACTTTCCCTCTCACCAAGTAAGGCAAAGATAATAGTGGCTTCCCACTTCACAAAACTGGTACGAATCTGAAGACTATAGTGTAGTTCAGTTCCAAAAGCCAACAACAAAAACCAGAAAAAACTTCTCCACTCGCCTCTGAATCCAGAAACAGAAAATGCAGCAAGAAATACCAAAACCAACACCATATGAAATTATGATGAAGTCTGCATATGTGAAGCCATTTTCCTTTTCCTGCTCCATTCAGAGCATAGGAGCAACAGTATTAATTGAGTGAAACATTATTCAGTTTTTTCACACTGATTTAAAGTACTTTTCTTGTTTTAGTAGTTACATGTTATTTCTGTACTACATTAAACACAAAATTATTCATTTCTCCAGGGCTCTTTTTTCTCATCACAGGTACTGACAACACTCACAGTCTCTAAGCAGCTCACAAACACTGATAGCTTTATCATCTTAACATTTTGGTATGGTGAACCTCAACTAGTACAATCACTTTCTACCTCCAACTATGAGGCAGAAAGAGATCAAAATTGTCAAACACCCACCAGCTTGAGGTGTCAAGGTTAATGTAGCAGAAGCATATTTTCTCAGAGTACTCTAGATGTTCACAGTCTGCTCAACCAACTTCTTCACAGGAATGAACTCAGTACTTCTGCAGCGGAAAAGGTGGGGTATATAGACCTACACCTCCAAAATTTCAGAGCCCTGTTGATGCAGTCCTGTGTCTCATTCCCTAAACACCTCCCAGTTGCTGCAATAAAGAAAGCAGGTGACAGTCTTTACACAGCCCTGAATCATTCCCTCTGTATCAGCCATCCCATTCCACTGAATGACACTGATGCCATATGAAAAAACCAGTATGTAGTCAAGTAATTTGAAACCAAGTGATAATGTATATGCACAAGGAATTAAGTTAAAGTTGCCCAGGATATCTTAACTAAGAATTTGTCCAATTTTAAATTTTGCAACTTTAACATAATTTTAAGAATTATGAATGCTATCTGAAAGAATTTACAAAAGCAAATGTATTATGATCTGAAACTCCGCAAATCATCAGCAGAGTTAAAAGACTAATCAAAACTCAGAATCCGGTACTAGGGATAAACAGGTAACTCTAGCAGTTATGGAACATTAACACTCAAATATTTTTTCCAGTAGGCTTATTCCTTTCTCCTAAACTCTAAAGGAATTCTGCATTCTGGTGGGAAAGTTGCTCTAGCAACTGTAAGCACTTTCACTCTTTTCTGTTTCTCCAGCTTTGTCTCCTTCTTTATCCTGCTTCTCTTCAGTTCTAATTCTTCTCACATCCTGACTTCTTGTCCTACTTTTCCTAGTTACTTTGTATGTTTGATGTGTCCAGGCCTTCCTTTACAGGGGATTTCAGATTCTCATCTATCTTAACTCTGTCGTAGCTCTTATCTCAACTCTTTCCCAAAAATTGCGTATCTGAGTTTTCAGTCCAACTACACCCTTCTCCAGACTTCCCAAAGCATCTCTCAAAAAGATTCTCTCTTGGACTGAAACTTTAAAATTTCATTTCATAGCAACTCCACTCAGAAGGAAGAGGATTTTACAGTATGAATTTCTAAATTAAACCACTGTTTAATTTTGGAATAGTTTGGAATAGAGCACAAGGAAGATTAAACACCTGGAATCTCTGTTTCCTAAGAGTACACGCAGTGCAAATCACATTTTCAGAGTTTTCTCCTGAAATGAAACAAATCTCAACCCAGGGTGTACTTTGGGCAGATTCTCATAGCACAGCCAGAGTTCACCAAGAACTTAGAAATGTCTGTGCCATGTTGCAGTGAACTACACATAGAAATTTAACAAGAGGAATCTGATGGACAAAGATGCTGCATAGCCTGCAGATTTTATCACCAGCTTTGCTGGTGATGTAAACGTATCAGAGTCTTTTTCTCTTAAACACACTTAATACTTACTCAGCATGGCTGCCTGAGATACTACCTCCCTGTGCTTGCAAGGCAGGTGTCTAGAATATGCAGCAAGAAGTGACAAGAGACTTGACAAGAGAAATAACTCAGCCAATGCCATTAGAACTCTTAGTGCCACTGGCACATTCTTTAAAGACATTTTAGTGATTTACACTATAGTTCCCAAATAAATAAAGACCTCCATTTTAGTGAAGAAAATGTTATCAAAATGGGCAAATTTTAGTGTATTGGAAAGAAGCTCCTGCACAATTCTCTCAAGCACAAACACAACTAAATATTTTCACTTGTAAAAGGCAGCTTATTACCTTTCCCCTTTCATATCCATAATTAATGCGTTTAAAATTAAGTGTTTGGAAGTAGAATAAAATCTTCAGAACAAAAAAAAATAGTACTATTTTAATGAGATGCACAATAATAAAGCACAGGTTCCAATGCAAGACTGAAGTTTAATGAATTGGAACTTACTACCTCTTTGTTAGTCAAGTCTCACTAACTTTGACTGAAAACAATTCAAAATTTGTTATTTAGAATTTTATACAAACCTTGTTATATTATACAAACCTTGTTTTTCCTAGGAAACCAGTGAATAAGAAAACTAGGAAAACTGTATTTTTGTAACACTCTAAAGCAATTAAACTGTGGAAAAATGCTCAATCACCAAGGAAATGCAGGAACACAGGATTTAATCAAGTTCTTGACATATGATAGGAAGCCAATCACAGATGTGTGTATTCCAAAATATTTCATTTTCATATTTTTAGGGTGATGTTCTATTCCCCTCACTTGTACTAAGTGACATCTAACTCCACATTTTTTTCAACTAATCTCAATAGAGTAACTCAGAAAGGATGGAATAATCTCTTTTTTCATCTGCAAAGCCCAAAATGGAAGTGTTAGTCCTTTATTGCATAAACTCATTTGCATAAGCCTCTAGTTTCCTCTCATTGCAGACTGTTGTTAAGAAAAGCTCAATTTTTGTCTTACCCATTATTCATTTTTTTATTCTATGTGATATGACACTGAACTTTACATACCGTCCACCACCTTCTTTGCAGTTGGGACATGTACATGCTACTCGTCGCAGCCTTTTCCCCTCCTGATGTGGTTGGTCCCCTTCCTCATCTACAACCTGTACTCTCAAATGTGTTAGATCATTAGTATTCAGTGTAGAATCACCACTGAGCTGCCACTCTTCTGGATCAGGATCCTCTTCTTTAATCCTAATATCTGGGAAAAAAGAACAAACACAGATCCATAAGTAGCCCATTAAATAAACAGAAAGGAAACCATACTGATCAAATCTTTTTATTCATGAGAACACTATACCAGTCAAAAGTCAACATCCTTAAGTGAATTCTGACATTGCTTCTATGCTCTTGTAACCCATATTTAAAAGTTTATCTTAATATGCATTTCGAAGTTGAAGATAAACTATAATGCTTTGTTATAGCTTAAGTTTGAACTGTTCTTGGTGAGGAATGCTGTCACCAGGAGACTATTGCTTGCTTGAAACTTGGGAAAAACTGAGGAACAAGAGGTTGGACAGAGGCTGATGAAAATGTAAACATATGTTTCAAATGACCCTGAGTAGCCATTTCTGTTTCCATAGCATTTCTGAATTAGTGTCACATGTAGTGGCAACAGCCTTCTTCAATGGTCTTCAGAAGTCTTTAGTATGCACAAAGATATAAAAAGTAATGTGAGAAATCAATCTAATAAAAGATTTTCACCTGAGAAAGACTGAGACACCTAAGGAAAACAAATAAATTAATGGTTTTATTCCATTTCCACTTTTCACCTGAAATTTATGTCTGCTGCACAAAACATAGAAAACATTTAGAGAAGAATGTTATTCAGCACTAGACAGAGATAAGCAATAGATGAGCCACTTCAGTGTTTTGATATACCAGTAGTCAAAATAGGTATTAGCAGTTTTCTGGATGCAAAAAGGCCTCCTAATTATTCCTTATAGGATGGACATTTGCAAGTATGTGCACCCTCTCCCAACAGAGCATTCATTCAATCTAATCCAAGAATTAATTACAGCGTCATAACAACAACTGTTTTAACAAATTTACATTTTAATAGGAACATTTCCCCCTCAAACACTATTCTGCATTCCCAGTGGACTCCAAGTCTGAATTCAAAAAAAATACAGTTTGTATGTATAATTTTAGAATGCTGAACCCCAGCCCACTCTTTGGTTCAGCAGAGTAGTTTACTATGCATTTTTTCTGTGAAAATGGTTTGCCATTAGCACAAACTAATAAGCAAACATAATTTAGGGTGGGTTTTTTTGTTTGTTTGTTTTTGAAACTTCAAATTAATATCTGTCTATCTTTCTGGACACATTCAAGATACTGCTTTTCCAGCAAAACAAACTCAGTTATCATGTAGACTTTTATCCTTAAACACTGAAAGCTTAACTGAGCACTGTGGCCACTTTTAAGTTCTTTCTGGGAGTCAGTGCATCAACCATCATATCTTTGTAATGAAGACAAAACTGCAGATTGCCTGATAAAACATAAGAAAAACTGTGCTAGGTCATATGACGAAGAGCATCCTGTCCCAGTAGAGATCAGGAAAGAAACCAATAATAAAACACGTAAAGAGTAATAGTTAACTGGTCTACATTCAAAGTCATCTCCAGCATTCATCTGTTTAGAGACAAAGGATATTGCTGCACAAAAATTTGCTTGATGCCAATAGAGTCTCAGCCCAGTCATCCCCAACAGCAGAGTTTGCCTTTCTTTTGCACACATATAATCATATGCAGGACTCTCCTGCACCCTACATCACTGATGTTACTACACTTAAAGTAATTCTCTAGGAAATCACTGCATTGGGAAGAGAATTCCAGGTCAAAACCAGGGAAGTATAGAATATTTATCTGGTTTGGCTGCAAAAGTCAGTGTTAGAAATTAAGCATGCATGAATATGACAGGCCCTGAGCTATGGGAATACAGGAGCAAGCATATTCACATCTGCTGATTTTTTACAGATGTGGTACTACTTACAGATGTGTAAGCGTACCCAAAGTCACCTGCACATCTTCACTGTTACCATCACAAGTCCACAATTTCAGATTGCACCATAATAAATACCTTTCATGGGAAGATCTAGAAAACCTTTGGCGACTTCTGGTCTTCTACATGAGCCACCAAAGTACCTTTGCTACCAAATCAAGCTATTTTCTGAGATCCATTAAAAAAATAACTTTATTATCTGTATGTTATATATAAAATTGATTTTAGGTAAGCAAACATTAAACCACCATTAATAAAGTTTATAGAATTATCTTTCAAAATACTACTGAGTATACTAATACATTTTAGAGCAACTTCAGAAAGAAGCAGAAGCTTGATTCACTCTTGCACAAAAGAGCACATAATAGGAATTTAAATACAGCAAGGCTGCCAGCACAGGCCAATGCAAGTCTCCAACCAGTTCTTTAGGATTGTGTGTTATACACTATACTCAAAATACTTTTACCAATCAAATGTAGCATCAAATGTACACTGTATAAATTCTGGATTTATTTAAAATAACAATTAAAGTACAGTTAATAAAATAACACAGTTTTAAGAAGGTAATTTCATTATGATCTCACTAACATTAGACAGTGGTATACAGTGTGCCTGCAAAGTCAGTAGTTGAATCCAGTTAAGACTGCATACATATACTTCAGAAGAGATATGCAAAGATGAATGGAACAAATTAGGGTATCTGTGTTCACAAGACCCAACTCCACTACTGAAGTCAAACATTCCATATGATTTCTCCTATTACACTGACCTCCCAAAGTCACACTCTAATCATAGAGAAACACGTAGGAGTAGAAGCATGTCCAAAAAGTCAATTACTGCATGCCAGTATCCATGACTTTCTACCTTCTATGCAATGTCTGTTCCACTTTACAAACTTTTGTCAAGAGTTCCTTCCACTTTTTCATTAGTATCTCTCTATTCCCAGTTTCTCCCAATCACCACCATTACTGCAGCAGCACAGAGATGTACAATAATTTCATAATGAGATTTAGAAACTTATTAGGACAAAAAAAAAAAAAAAAAAAAAAAAAAAAGGCAGGACAGACAAAACATACCTAATAGTTGAGGAGATTGGAGAAGACAACAATTTGCATAGATATACAGTAGTTTATAGCATTATTCTAAGAAATGCAAAACTGAAATGAAGACAAAGTAGTACTGTGTTTTTAATTCTGTGCTGTGCTTTCTGCTCATCTTGGTAAGGCAGAAATTGTACCTATTTCTTTAGTTACTCATCAGAAGGACTATCTTCTACTCCTGACACACAGAAAAGTACCACATAAACTGGCAATTTACAGACAGGACGTTTTAATACTTGTCTATGTAGACTATACTTAAAACACAATTAGAAGAAATATCAATAGCTAAAGCATTTCCAGGAGTAGTAGCAGTAGTAGCCTTTCTAGGAGTAGTATAGCAGAATGGACTGCATCAAAACCCACAATGAATGTGACTGCCTTAAATGAGGTCCTCAGAGCCAATGAGTCTATTGTCCTTCAAGTAAGTTTTTACATTATTTCAAAAGATAAGGTTAAAACTCCACCAGTATTTTTTGGAAGGAGGGGTGCCACTCATGAAGCTGTTGAAAGGACTAACCATGGAGAAGAGCTACAGATTAAGTGTTCTCCAGTGCAATGGAATTTAAGATTATGAAAATTCATGTAGATACCAGAGACTACATTTCTCCCCGGTGTTCTTCTAGATGTGCTCCATTCTAATTCAGCCTCAACTGAGAGAATTTACATAAGCTCTGCAAAAAAAGAGGCCTAAAAGAATTTATATAATCCCTAAAGTCATGACAAGCTGATGCAAACACTAGCAAATTTGAGACAACTTTTGTCTTCTACAAATTAAAGAAAGGCTAAATAAAGGTTACATTTTCTTCATTACTCTCTTATTTCCATGCTTTCAAATTTCTATATGCTCTTACTTTTAAGTTCAAGATTTAATTCTAGGTAAGTATGAAGGAGAATTTTAGACAAAGATATTGTTTCAAACTGCCAACAGATTCTGAAAAGCATGTATTTTGTTCAAGCTCTGTTTCCTGTTCAGTGTGCAAGATTTGGTTTAGGTTTGGCTTTTCCAAGATGGAAATTGGGATCTTGGTGAATAATTTTGATCCAAAGGTAGTATTTCATAGTCATAGACAGCCCAGAACTGGCTACAATATGGAACAAGATTGACGGTATTTGGCAAACAAAACCAATAAGCAAGAGATTTGTTTAAAGTGTTTCAGAGAAGAGTAACTAAATTGACAGGAGGAAACAACGCAGATGGAAATGCAGTTTAAACTATTCTTGAGTACATGTGAGCTATAATCTAGTGTGGAGAGAAATACAGTTGCCCACTGATATACCCAGGTCATTTACCTACTTATCCAGGTATCAGATGAATGCATCAATTAATCGTCACATTACGTCTTGGTCTGTTTCAACCAGGACTTAGGAACATGTTATCTTCTTCATCTATGGAAAAAGTTTTTAGTTTGCCCAAGAGCCACAGAAACAGAGGTAAACTGAGAAGGGAAGAGGATGCAGATTTTTAAATATATCTGCCTTTGCAGAATGTCACAAAAGCATGCTCAATATTACATTATAACAGTCTGCAAAAAGTGAGCTTCTAGTTCACCTGCTTTTCCCAGATGCTGAAAGCCACCCTCCCTTTCTCTCAGCCAAGCTTTACAAGTTCCTGACCTGAGAAGCAGAAATATCGTCTTTGAACTGAAAACAGTTCCGCAGCAGCACTGCACACACCTTCCCACTGATTTCCCCACAAAATCACAATTTGACTGCCATTTCAATTGTTTCTGATTGCTTATTTTTCCAAATAGGGGCTTCCCATCGTACCTTTCCCAAGAAAAGATGTTAATTCCCACTTCCTTCCCATCTTCTCCTGTTGTTTTCTGCTTTCTCTACAGTTCAACCCACATTACCTTCGAATCTTGACTTGTCTTGCCTTTATCTCTAGATGTGAGGAAGCTATTAATAAAGACACTTAAATTTCTTAAGATACCATTCTTGCTCTTTCCCATCTAACCTGAACTATCTAAATTAAACTCATTCTAATAGTTGATCAGCTGTTCAAGTCTTTTAGACAGGAAACTCAGCAGAAATAATGATTTTTACTCTTATTTGCCCCCAGATCTTAAGTGTGAATGTAGACATTTTTATTACACAATAA